GTGGACGACGTGCCACTGCAGCGAGGACAGGGGAGCGAGCGATGGCAGCAGCATGAAAACTCGGAGGTCCGCGCGGACTCCTCGGATCGGCGCTGGGCCCTCCTCCCTGGCGCGCGGGTGGGCGGCGAGGCGCCGCCGGGAGGGTCCAGCGCGGATCCGAGAAGTCCGTGCGGACCTCCGAATTCTTCTGTTTCTGTCATTGCTCGTTTCCCTGGAGGAGGCGACGAACTCCGCCCGGCTCACCTTTGAAGGGGCCCCAGGACACACAAAGAAATGCACACACATAAAAAGATGTCCCATATTTTCCCGCATTTTCTGGGTTTCTGTCTTCCCCCCCACTTCCAATATTTTCCCCATATTTTCTTGGGATCGACGATTATTTGTGTCTGTGTGTTTTTTTCCCTCCTGATCATTGCTCGTTTCCCTGGAGGAGGCGACGAACTCCGCCCGGCTCACCTTGCCGTCCGCGTCGGCGTCGTGGTAGTGGAGCGTGTCCCCCGCGCGGCTCTCCAGCACCTCCCGCTCCATCGCCTCTTGGCGGCGCGCACGAGGGGGTGGAGGGAGGGGGGAGGGCTTCTTAGAAGGAGGCTGCTTCTTAAGAAGGCGCCGGCCTTGCATCTATAGAGAAGGCCCGCGCCTTCCAAGAAGCAGGGGTGCTTCTGAGAAGCCCTCCCCCCTCCCTTCACCCCCCTCTGCGCGTGGCTGAGCCTCGCGCTCGGGCGCCTCCGGCCGCCAGTCGTAGAAGTAGTCCTCCGTCAGGAACCACCTCGCCCACCGGCGCGACGGCGAGCCCAGGTACGCCTGGACCTCTGAAGGGGCCCTGGGGCACACAAATAAATACACACACAAAGAAAAGGGTTCCCCCTATTTTTCCGTATCTTTTGGATTTTCGTCTTCCCCCCCACCTCCCATATTTTCCCATACTTTCCTGGGGATCGACGATTGTGTCTGTGTGTGTTTTTTCCCTCCTGGACCTCCTGCAACGACAAGGCTCCGTCGCCGTCCGCGTCCACCTCCGCGAACCGCCTCTCGGCGCTGGCGCGCGCCCGCGCGGCGTCTGGGGTGGTCTTCCAGCGGGCCAGCGACTTGGCCAGGCTCTCCGCTTGGGCGCTGCCGGGCCGCTCCAGCGTGGTCCAGGAGTGCCAGAGGTCCTTGCAGTGCCCCTCGTAGTAGAGGTGCGAGTTCGCCAGGGTCGGCAGGAAAGCTCGGAAGTACCGCACTGGCAGGGGGTGCTGAAACTGGAAGGTGGTGGCCACGGTGCACCTGGGGTTGCCCTCTTCGGGGACGAAGGTCTCATGGAACTGGGAGGGGAAGAACACGATCGCCTCGCCCTCCTGGACCTCGGCCTCGTAGGCAGGCCGCCACAAGGCCGTCCTGTACAGGCCTCCGTCGTGTGAGTCGTAACGGTCCAAGACGCTGGGGATCCGCGGCGGCGCGGGCATCAGGCGCCACTGCTTCCTGCCGCGGAGCTGCAGCGACACTGCGGGGATGCAGTAGGTGTCCGCGTGCACCATCACCGAGCCGTTCTGCAGCGAGAACCAGAACTCCTGCGACTCGTTCGCCTCGCGGAGGTTCGCGGCCCCGCGCAGGAAGTACGCGGGGCTCCACGAGCCCTGCACCTTTATGGATGGGGAGGGGTGTCCAGCGCCACCCAGAAATCGGCGTGGACATCAGGTGCTGATATGTCTGGTTGGTCCCCGCTGCTTCTGAGACCCTCGGGAGCGGCCAAGAGGGGGGTGTCCAAGAGGGGGGGTGCAAATCATGACCGGCGGCATGTGCGCGGCCCAGCGGGGGGGCCAGGGACGCAATGAAACAAGAAGAGGCGCCATGAGATCTGGGGAAACATCATGGCCCCCGCCATGATATCCACCCCCCCTAGTCATCGCCCCCCTCTTTGCCGCCCCCGAGACCCCACCCCGGGCTCGTTCTGACCAGGCTCACCTGGCACCCCGAGGCGCGCCCAGCCGTGGCCACGAGGGCCCCCCGGGAGGCCCCGAGAGGCAGCAGCGCGCGGAGCGCTTTTGCACTGGGCATCGGCATGTTGGCCTCCTCCTAGAGCAGGGGATCGGCTACAGATCTAGGGGGAAAACAAGCCTACCTCGCTTTTGACCACCCTCGCTTCCAAGAGATACCAGGCGATGCCAAACTACGGCCTGTACTGGTCCGGCCTCTCGACGAGGAGGCGCGTGGTATGACTTGGTTTTGCCTGGAAGCGAAAGCGGGGTAGGTCATTCACGCTCTGAGAATCGATCTACGTACCCCTAAATGGACGTTCCCGCCGACTCTGCGAACATCGCCCATCATGTCCCGCAGGTCTCCGAACATCCTGCGCGTGTCCTGTGCGTTCGGCGGGGAAACCTATCTTGGGGTACATCGATTCTGTAGTCGATCCCATAAAGTAGGAGCTCGACCACGAGAAACCTTCCACAAGAAACCCAACCATGGGACCCAGGACGTCCACTGATTTTTGGTGTGGGAACGCCTCGCTTTCCATAACAAAATCATCGAAACCCAAGAGACTCGGGGGCGCGCAAACATGGATATCAGCGATCTATGGATTTGGCGCGCGGTCGCCAAATCCATGGATCGGGGGAGGTGCCCTCCCCAGAATGCGGCCGGTGCCGCCTCGTTCGGCTGCTGAAGTCCACGATTTCCCATGGAAGCGGGGCCCGTCGCTGATCCACGCCCCCGCAGTCCATGGTTGCGATCGCCCGAGAGACCCAGGGCACCCTGGAGGCAAGCAGGGTGCTTTTGGCAGGGGCTTCCGCTGTCCTCGACCCCTGGTGCACCTTCGCCCGCACGGCGGCCGGGGCCTCGAGCCCGCCGTCCTTGACGTGCCACACGTACGGCGCGTGGAAGGCGCCCCCCGCGCCCGCGTGGCCCGGCGGCGCGGCGGTGGGCCTCCCGGTCTTGGCCCGGCGACCGCGAGGGGCGTGGTTTCTGCCAAGGGTGTGGTCTGCAACCCGCGCTCCTCCTCCTCCTCCTCCTCCTCCTCCTCCTCTCCTCCTACTCCTCCAATCTCCTCCTCCTACAAATCTCCTCCTCCTCCAATCTCCTCCTCCTCCTCCTCCTCCTGCTCCTCCTCCTCCTCCTCCTCCTCCTCCTCCTCCTCCTCCTCCTAACCTTTGGCGCAGCCCTGGGACCCCCCGAGCCCCGCAACGGCGCCGATCGCAGACCATGCCCCTGTGTACGGCCGGCCCTGGGACAAAAGAACATCCAGTCAGGAGCATGAGACCCTCCGCCGGCCAAACCGAAGAGCATTCGAGAGGGTGCCCTCCTCCAGGATGCACGAGGACGTCCAGCGAGCACGAAGAACCTCGTGCCCTCCCCGCAGCGACCTCGATCTGATGCCTCGGCCCGACCGCAGCCACGCTCATTGCAGTCGCCGACTTGTCCCACCGCGCGCCGCCCACCGAGATGAACTGCTCGTCGCTCGCCGCGCCGGTGTACTCCGCCCTCATCCGCGCCTCCAGCGGTCGCCCCCCCCCCACCGGGCCGCGGCAGGGCGGCCCCCCGAGAGGCCTCCGAGTGGCCTCCAGAGGGCCCCACGCCTCAGGCAGCCGCCCGAAGAGGCGGCGAAGGACGATCCAGGAGGTCCTGGCGGGGGGTGGGGGGGGGGTCTGGGGGGGGGATAGGGGGCCAAAGCCACCCCCAGTCCCAGCCAGGACCCCATGGATCGCCAGGTCGGGAGTGGGGGTCAGCCCTGCATTCGATCGGTATCGTGTGGATGCTGCGGTGACCAAGGATGACAGACACGTGATTATGCGATGTGTGTTATGAGGGGGACAAGAAGTGACATAATCATAAAAACTCGGAGGTCCGCGCGGATTTCTTCGGCGCTGAACCCCCCTCCCTGGCGCGTGGAGCGCGCCAGGGGCGGCGCCGGAGGCGCCGCCGGGGGGCCCCAGCGCCGATCCGAGAAATCCGCGCGGACCTCTGAGTTTTTATGTTTATGCCACTTTTTGGTCCCCCAGTTATGATGGGGATTCACACGAAGTGAATGGAACTTTGTTCCTCCTGCATGGCTGGGGGAGGGGGCGGGCTGTGCTGCCCCCAGGTCCTGCGCGCACGGCTGCGCGTAAGAGCCGCCGGGCGCCTCTCCCGCAGGACCCTCGAGAGCCCTGGGGGACCTCCGAGAGCCTTGGGGACCCCCGAGGGACCTCCAGAGTCCTCCGGAGCGGGCGATTCCGAGAACCACGAAGCCAAAAACGTTTTCATCTCTTTGGAGGGGCCCTGGGACACACAAATAAATACACACAGATAACAGGATTCCACATATCTTCCCATATTTTCAAGGTTTCTGTTTTCCCCCCCCACTTCCCATAGTTTCCCATCTTTTCTGGAGAATCGACGACTAATTGTGTCTGTTTTTTTTCTCTCCTGACTCTTGGAGGCACATCTTTTACTTCCGCCACCTTCCGCCGCCCTTCCGCCGGCTTCCGCCGGCGGAGGCGGCCTCGTTTTACTTCCGCCGCCCTTCCGCCGCCTTCTGCCGCGGAAGAGATGACAGCTCCCTCTACCAATCCTCGAAAGGAAGGCCCTGTTTTGGAATGCCTCAAGTAGATCGGAGCAGATGGAGGACCGCACCGCTTCGCCGACGCTAGAGGAAAAAACTCCATAAACTTAAACTTATGGCGCTCCGCGCGGATTTCTTGGATCCGCGCTGGATCCCCTTCCCTGGCGCGCAGAACGCGCCAGGGGCGGCGCCGGAGGCGCCGCCGGGGAGGGGCCCAGCGCGGATCCACGCAATCCGCGCGGAGCGCCGAAAATGTACGCACCAGCGGTGCATCGGCGGCGTTGGGATGGAAGGCGCGGAGAGCCCCAGATCGCGCCGAGGCGCCGACGCACCGGCGGTACGGCGCGGCCCTCCGAACCCCTGGAGCCTCTGGGAACTGCTCGCGATACCACCCGCACTCGCGCCCGAGCAGGTCGTTGCCTCGGCCCGCGTCCTGGACGATGAACGGGCGTCCGCTGCGCACGCGCTCGTCGAACTCGTCGCCGCCGATGTCGGTCACCCGCTCGATCTGCTGCGCGGCGCCAGCGAGGCCGAAGAACTCGGCCGGCGTCGGCTCCCAGAGGGGTGGCGTTTTCTGGTGCGTTTCCCTTGGGGACCTCTTGCAGTGGAGGGGAGGGGGATGGGAGGCCAGGGGGAGGAGGGGAAGGAGGAGGAGGAGGAGGAGGAGGAGGAGGAGGAGGAGGAGGAGGAGGAGGAGGAGGGGGACGGGAGGCCAGGGGGAGGAGGAGAGGAGAGCAGGAGAGGGGACGCAGAGGAGCGGAGAGTGGAGGAGAGGGGGATGGGGGAGAAGCAGCTGCAGTGCCCAGTGGTGCTGAGCAGACCGATGCCGCCCTCTACACTCTAGAGTCGGAGGCCTCTCAATTCGGGCCGGGGTGGCCGGGGTCGACGAGCCATGGAGAATCACTCCGCATCGCAGTGCATCGGCGATGCACGGGTCACATCGGGAGAGAAAAGCATCGTGCCCCAGATCGCGCCGCGTCGTTCACGCACCGGCGATGCCGTTCGATGCCCTGGCCCCCAGCTGAGCGGCCAATAATCGATGCTGTTCTCAAGATGCGCGGACTGCCCGGGTGAGGGGAAGCTCGACTGCCCGAGTCGCAATGGCCAACCACCTGAAACTTCGACCACTGCCCTTGGAGCAGTTTTCTCAGGGGTGGACCGTGTCTGGACTTGAGTCGATATCCGAGGATGCATCGAGTGGTTAGGACCCCGACGAAAGACCCCGAACCCGTCCGGTGGCAGATTGGCTGGGGACCCTGATGTCAACTGACGGTTTTCACCAGACAATCCTCCTCCTCCCCCTCCTCCTCCTCCTCCTCCTCCTCTTCCTCCTCCTCCCCCTCCTCCTCCTCCTCCTCCTCCTCCTCCTCCTCCTCCTCCTCCTCCTCCTCCTCCTCGATATACTCGGACCTCCGAATGTCCTCCCGAGCCGGTTCTTGGCGGTCCCAAGGCCTTGGGGGGAGACCCCACAGGCCGAGCGCGGCGGAAGAACTCTCAGGCACGCCTTCAGGAAGAACGATCATCAAGCTCCTCCTCCTCCTCCTCCTCCTCCTCCTCCTCCTCCTCTCTCCGCCTCCTCCGCCTCCTCCGCCTCCTCCGCCTCCTCCTCCTCCTCCTCCTCCTCCCACGCACAGGAGGACGATCAGGAGACCAACCACCTTTTTAAAGCTGTTATCCGCCACTGTCTAGAGGCTTCCCGCAAGGGGTCCGAGTGGATGACGCCGGAGGATCACGCCGCATCGCCGACGCATCGGCGATGCGTCGTCGACGTCGGAAACAAATCGGTGGCGTCGGCGTGGAGGAAATCGGACTCCACATCGAGTCGCGTCGCCGCTGCTTGGCGATGCGGCACGAGCTCTCGCCCCCATCTACTCGGGCCCCAATTCGGGGAGGCCTCGAGTCCCCCGCCCCCTATCGGCGAAGCGCGAAGCGCGAAGAACTTCGCGCCCTCGAAAGCGCCCGTGTTTTTTTTCGCCTCCCCTCCTCCTCCTCATCCTCCTCCTCCTCCTCCTCCTCCTCCTCCTCCTCCTCCTCCTCCTCCTCCTCCTCCAACTCCAACTCCAACTCCTCCTCCCAACTCCAACTCCTCCTCCTCCTCCTCCTCCTCCTCCTTCTCCTCCTCCTCCCTGCGGCAAGGTCCCAAGAGGAGACGCGCCATGACTGGCCGGCTGGACCACGCCCAGGGCGGCAGCCACGGCGGACCACAGCGGCCACTTCATGCCGCGGCGCCAGCCAGGAGGAGGAGAAAGGGGGGAGGGGGGAGCGGAGGAGCGGAGGAGGCACGGCGGAGGGGCAGGCAGAGGAGGAGCAACCTCGCCCTTGTGGTGGCAAGAGACGAAGGAGTAGGAGGAGAAGGGGGAGGAGGAGGAGGAGGAGGAGGAAAAGGAAAAAAAGGAGGAGGAGGAGGAGGACAGGAGGAGGGGGAGGAGGACGGAGGAGGAGGAGGAGGAGCAGGAGGAGGAGAAGGAGGAGGAGCACGGATGATGATGATGATGATCATGATGATCATGATGATGATGATGTTGATGATGAGGAGGAGGAGGAGGAGGAGGAGGAGGAGGAGGAGGAGGAAGAGCAACAACAGCAGTGGGCGGAGGAGGAGGAGGCGGCGGCGGAGAGCAGTAAGAAAACGGGCAGGAAACTGACAAGGACCAGTGGCTGGAGGAGGAAACAAACAAACAAAAAGTCATACATCCGGAGGTACGTAGGACACGAGTCGGGACAACTACTACATTACAATAGGGCTACATTGTTCTACGCTGACAACCTCGGCTTGCGGACAAAATGCCACCAGAAAACTTCACGAATCAAGAGTGGGATCGAATTGGCCATGTTGCCTGACACTTTTCAAGCAACACATTCATTCATTCATTCATGGGCATTAAGAGGTCAGCCAAATCCAGGCTCGCCTGACCTCGGGAGAAAGATTAGTCGGAGTCGTCCGAGACCTGCCCTGGAACCAAAGGCGGGGGGCCCCTGGCCCCTGTATGGGCCAGGGAGGCCCTCGCTCCGCGGGGGGAGGTGGCGCCGACGGCCTGGGGCCCGAAAAGAAACCTCGACGCCTCCTCCTCCACTTCGAAGTCGCTCGCGCGGGACGGCGCGGCGACGGCAGGACGGACAGACTCAACAGAATCAGCTGCGGGCTGCGCAGCTGCTGAACGATCCCGATCCCCGCCCAACTCCCCACCCAGGTCCCTCCACCACTGGGCAGCTCCGTGGAGGACTCTCCATGGGCGGGAAAGACGGGTGCCTTTGGGCCAAGGCAAAGTGCCTCGGCGAAAACAGCGAACCTGAGCTTTCTTGATCTTAGGGCAGGGTCCAAGGAGGTGCTTGGGAGTGCGGGCGCAGTACGACCCGCACCTCGAGCAGCACAGGACAGGAATGCCTGAAGAAACAACCTTGCACGCCCACATCCTGTGTTCTGGAGTGGGAAGGTTGCATCCCCTCACCAGGGCCCCAAAAGTGGGAGGGAGGGCAGCACGCCGATTCGTGCGCGAAGGGGGAGACCTGAAGCTCTTAGCGCACGAGAAGCACTGCCACAATCGGCCATTCCACAAAACGTTGTGCTGCCTATGGTTTCGGGGGGGTGGCCTTAAACTCTTCGATTCTCGTTCCAGGGTGCCGTGCATTTCCCTAGCTGAAGGCCAGAGTTCTAAAATCGACACCGCAGCTTTAAACACAGCAAACCAACCGTCTAGGGATTCTTTACAGGCCTCGGCGTCCTGGGGGGAGGCATATTCGCGGGCGGCCTCACGACACATGACATCGGCCCAGGCATTCCCTATTACTCGTAGTTGATCTGCCCATTCTCGATCTCCTCGCTGGAGAGTCTGGTGTGCCTTGACTTTATGTATGGTAAACTGCTTATCCAATCTCTGAATGGCTCGTCAGTGGCCTGCCTGTTGGGAGGTGCCGTCCAGGGATCTGAACGAAAAAGCACATCCCGTGAGCAGGGCCTGGCAGTCTGCAAAAATAACTGCCTCTTCATCGAATCTTGCAGGATCCTGCCACAGGTGGCGTAGTCCTTGGAGGAGCCCATGATGTTCTGCCCAGGCCGCGTTTTGAGGGTACTTCCTGGGAAGGGGACCTCGGACCGCACGTTTCAGGTCGCCTCCAGCTGTGATTTCAACTGCCGTCCAGCCCGCTCGGGCCAGAAGGGGGTTCGTGGGTTCCAGACAACTGCCATCGATGAAGATCTCGGTGGGGCACGTGAAATCGAACTCGTCAATTTCGCCGACCCTGTCGCAATACTCAACTATATCGTCATCAGGAGGAAATGTCTTGATTTCGGGCACGGGGATCCACAGCTGGGTGTAAAGGGGGTCCTTACCCGCAGAACTTCGGGCCGCATCAACAATGACAGGGTCGACATTTCCTCTTGCTGAGTCCCCATGGGGACAGTGCCATAGCCTATGGAAGACAGTGTCGCACAGGCCGCAGTACGGGCAGGTCGGCCCCACCTTGAAACATCGCTTCCAAAGAAGATGGCTGGTGGGAGTTGTGCTGCATATTAAATCTCTCAAGCGCCTCTTTGAATCGTAGCACCACTTGCTGCTGTTCCAGACCTTGCTGAAAGGGAAACCCCACAAACCTCGATTTCTCATCTCGTTGGCCCCGGGGTGGATGTCATCGTCGGGGACCTCGGATTCACATAGTTTTTTGCACACCGAGCTTTCCAAAAACTTCTGCCTGAGGTCTGCCGTGAACAGCTTCTGTATGAGAGCTGGTGGGGACTCCGTGATCTTGAGCTCGAGCTCATTGCTGGTCTTGACCGTCGTGGGGCCTTTGAAATACCAGCCTGCCTGCTCCGTCCAGAAAAAGGGAGTCCGCGAGAGGGCTCCTAACCTTGCAGGCCCAACTCTTACCCCGAGGTACTTGATCAAAGAACCTCTGGGAGAACTCGTAGCCCTGGCGAAGCTCCTTCGGGCTGAGAGCATCTGGCGCCTTAATCTGGCTGTCTGTGGTCATCCACCACTCCCTGCAATACCGCTTGAAGGTCGCACTGGCGTGGGAGATGGGGTCGGACTCTGGCTTCATGAGCCAACAAATGTTGATGTCACAGCCAGGCGACCAAATGCCGAGAAGCCGTGCAGTCTGAACTCTTAACTTTTTTTATTTCCTGAGGTGAATGTCCTGAGACTTCTTCCCCATAGCATATGGAGGGCTTGACTCCGCAGGTGTATATTTTGACCTTTTTGGGCTTGCCTTGTTTGCGATCCCGAAGTCGACAGATTTTGGGGAGACGCTTCATGTTCTCCATCCACCTTGACATCTTTTTCGATCTGCATCCTTTGGCGGCCCTGATCTTCCCCACGTTATAGTCCACCCCCAGATTGGTAATAGAATTCTTGATGGACCCGGAATATTCCCCTAGAGCCCCAGGAGCTTGCTTCAAGACCTCGAAGTTGTTAGCCGTGAAGTTAAGCTTCTTCATATGGATAGGGAGCTCGAGGGTATACGTAAACTTATGAAATATCCTAGCTGCAAGATCCGCCAAGCCATTCAAGCACGTTTCAACAGTACATCCCATCGAGTCGAACGCCAAGTCGTCGATGTGTATCGAGAGAGACGTGCCATCGTTGATCGTCGTGTCGCGGATCGTCGGAATCATATATCCTTTGACTTCGAAAGTGGCCGTGGAGGAGCCCGCTACAATCCCTCTGGTGGGGTAGAGGGGCTCGCCAACTGCGCTGTCCATGAGTAGCCTCCGTGGCCACCTGTAAGAATCGAGCGCCGCCTTCAGCGCGAACAAAGGAAAATCACACCTCATGCCCTCGCTGAGCATTGTGTGATGGCCGATGTGCTCGTAGCACTGCTTCAAATCTGCCAGGAGGGTAGCTACAAACTTACCTGAATGATCTGCAATGTCGCCTCTCACCGCCGCCCTCCAGACGGAATCTGTAGTGTGTCTATGTGGGGCCATGTTGAAATGTTTCGACTTGGCCAAGATTCGTTCCCATTCGCGGCAGTGGTGAGACAGGCTCCTAGAGTATATGCGGCTGAAGCTCTTGAAAAACCCGATGGGCCTTCGACCTCCAGTCGCCTTGCGGGATAGTGCAACAATCAACTCTTTCAGCATCGAAGGGCTGCTTCCTAGAACGTTCATGGTGTTAACGATGCCTTCCATGACCTCAAGGGCTCCTTCTGAGAGCTGGGAGAAGTGCTTGGGGTGGTACCCGTCCACAGCGGTGGTGAACACCTTGAACTTTGACGAAATCTTCCGTAATTGGTCTCTGGAGGGGCCTGGGGGAATCCAGTAGTTGGTGTCCAGGGGATCCTGCAGCTGAACTCGGGGCTCGTGAACCCCCCAAGCCTTGCTCCAAATATCATGTTGCTCTTGAAACCGTAGGCCGAAAGCTGAAGAGCGGGCTCCATCAGGATGTTTGACAGTATCCTCGTCTCCTCCTCCAGAAACCTTGGTACTGCTATGTCCTCGTTTCGCTCCTCCAGCTAAAGCCTCCTCACACCAATTTTCCCACCTTGCCGTCGCCTCCTTCCTCTCCTTCTTAACATAACTGTCAAACAATTCGCCAAGAATAGGCACCCAGCACTCGACAGCCTGGACGAAGGTGTCCTGCTTGCCTGGAGTGAGAGCAAGGGTGCCGAGCTCCGCGCAGAAGTGGTGCCAGAACTCGCAATGGCTCCTCCAAAGGGTCCTGAACGGGCCTCCTCTCGAAGGGAGCTGACGAGTGTGATTCGCAAGGTCCTGAAACTGCTTGGAAGGCCCTCTCTGAATAAGACTTTTTAACTCCTTGATTCGGCGAAGCATCCACGCAATGCATCTGCTTTCGCTGGGTAAAGGGTTCCTGGAAGTGAGAAGAAGTTCTGAAAGGCGGACCGTCTCAAACTGCAGAGGCCGACCTCCTTCCAAGCCGATGGCGGTGGGTACTTGAAACTTGTATTTAAGCTCACCCCAAGTCCTGTCAGTCCAGGCGGGGTAGATGCGATCCAGAGCTGCCTGCAGGATCGCCTTCTCGCCGTCTCCTGCTGGCACTCTAAAACCTTTTCCTGAAGGGTGGCGAAAATCCTCGAGCAGGGCCTGAATCTCGTCAACCAAATCACCGTAGTCGGGCGGGGGCTTCGAGGGGCCTGCGGGGACCTCAGCTGGCACCTTCTGGTATTTAACAATCCTTTGAACCAATATGTCCTCGGTAGCGCTGCTCAAGGACATCGTGACTGGCTTGTGCGGCGGTATCATCGCATCCTCGTCTACTGCTACCCTCTCGAAGCTGAGGGCGAGTTGACGGCACACGATAAAATAATCTATGACGGTCCTGTTGTCCCCGATGATGCATGTCGCGGACTCAGGTG